CTGTCCTCGGGTTGCTGAGCCCACGGCCGCGGGACATGGCCTGGCACACGCAGCTCTGCCTGCCTCACAGGGCAGCCTGGGTCAGCGGCCGGCCAGGGAAGGCACCTGCAAGCTGAGGGGCCAAGGCGGGGCCACAACAGCACCTCTGCTCAGCCCTTGGGAATGTGACTTCTTTGGAGGTCACCCCCTCCTGGGCCTCTCCCCCTCCAATCCCCCTTCACCCTGAACTGCCAGGGCCCTGGGCTCCTGTGGTCCTCAGAGGAATGCAGACTCGGGCCCCACCCAAACACTGCCGAGCCAGCACCCCACAGAAGCAGAACCACATGCAACCAAGTTGGAAAGGCGCAGGGCTGGCATCAGCTGGGGTTTCTCGATAGTCTGTAGGGCAGAGTTGGGCTGCCAAACCCACCTGCAGCAGGCAATGCACATTCCCTTCTCTGATTTCCACATGGTCCCTTCAGAAAGGAAGCCGTGTGCAAACCCTTCTGAGCTGAGGCCCACTTCTGCCTCAGCTGCCTTGGTTACACAGGAATCCCCGGATAATCCAAACCACTTTAATTCCATCTGCAAAGTCCCTTTGCCACGTGATGTGATATAACCTTGGGCTGGATACCAGAAGGTGAAGGCCACACGTACCTAAAATCCTGTCCTGCCACAAAGAACTCTCAGCAAGGGTCACACTGGGATGCCTCTTCAAAAGGTCTCTGCAGTTCTGGAGCTGGACTTTGGTTCTTCTCTTTTCCTCCCTTGGTTCTGTTTCTCCCCCTCTGGCCACTGCCACCTTCCACCCTGCCATAGAGCATCTCTCAGGACATCCCAATTCCCTCCCCACGGGGGAGGGGGGGGGGAGCCCTTATCTCAGGATGCCGAGACTTCTGCAGGAAACCACAGCCCTTGGTGTACCAATCCCAGTTGCTCTCAGCCAAGCCCCAGCCCCACCCCCCGGGGAGAACCACAGGAACAAGGCCAATCTGAAGCTCACCCTGGCTCTGCCTCCACCAGGGACACCTCAACTGTGACCGGCAGGGCAGGAAGCCTGGAGCCCCAGTCCCATTCCAGTTCCGAGGCCTGCGTCTCAACCTCCTGGGATTCTCAGCACCATCTTGCTGAGGCAGGTGCCAGACAGCAGCACTGCCAATCTTCCAATCCCAGCAATTTGTACTTGAGTGGACAGAAGGGCCCAGTCTCCAAACCCAAGCTGGCCTGTCACCAGCTGGTGGGTGGCCAGTCAGATGCAATTTGTTCTTACAAAGGCTCAGGACCCACATGTAATCTTAAAAGACGGAGTCAGGAGACGCACAAACCTTTATCAACTCATGTGCCATGTTCTCCATGCTTAAAGTCCCAGCCGTCACCAGTCTTAATGCTGAGTGACGTCTGGTTAATTTTTAAAACGCAATCCACTCTCGATGGACAAACCCTACCTTTTATGATAATGGTCAAAAACTGTGCTACAGTTCACTGACGGCAGATCCAAAAAACCATCTGTACAATGTTCTGAAAGCTGAAACATGATGCTATAGTTGTCATAAAAAGGCTTCATTGAAGGACAACAGTCACTGGAACGTGAGAAAATGTTTTGTTCAAAACTCAGCCATTGCAATGTGCAGTGGTGCACGACTGTAATCCCAGCAGCTCAGGAGGCTGAGGCAGGAGGACTGCAAACTCAAAGCCAGCCTCAGCAACTTAGTGATGCCCCAAGCAACTCAGGGAGACCATCTTGCAATTAAAAAGGCTGGGGATGTGGCTCAGTGGTGAAGCACCTCTGGGTTCAAGGTTAAGCCCTGTGAACACAGAGCCCCCTTCTGCAGCAGTCTCCTCATTCAGGAGCATGTGAAAACTCTGGGACCAAATATAATTTCAAAGACAATACTTCTCCTTAGTGTGGGAACTAATGGATTTAAAAACGCTGAAGTCCACTTAGCACACACTATTCAGTTTTAATTAAACTCCAATTCGACTTTACTGAAGCAAGGGAAGCCAAATGAAAAGAAAAATTCCATACGGACTGTTTAAAATTCATGTAGACATGACCTCCACTTATGCAGAGCGATTCATAGAGAGATTTCAACCTGTACCCTTTTTCCACTACTGCCCTCGCTTGGGGTGACAGAAAACTGCTCACACCCAACAGTAGGACTGCAGACATTCCTGAAAAATCAGAAAAACTCAAAAACACAGAGGTAGCACTGAAACTGGCCTTTATTGAACATCTACTATATCTGCATTTCATGCAGATTCATACAACCCTGAAGGTTGGTATTAACCTCATTTGGCAGATAACTGCAGTTGAGAAGTTAAGCAATATGCTGAAGATTTCTAAGCAATCACATGTAAGTGGGGATTTCAAGCCCATTCTACCTCATCCATCCAAAATGAGGACTGAGTCCATCTGAACGTGATGTCTCCCAGCAGACTAGAATCTGGGTCCTCCTCACAGGCTGCAACATCGGAGACAGCAATCGTACACTCAGAGCTCACAGGAGGGAGACTGGTGCATCTTAGCTCACCATGGTATGCGTGGGGACACTACCAAAGTACAGCAGAGCTGAGCAGCATGTGCTAGTCTACAGAAAACTCCACCAAGAGACACTGACACAGGAAGGGGCTGACAGCCTGGGATGTTCAGAGGGACAGACAGAATAATATAGTTGTGTGTCTACAAGTGACCAAAATGAAATACTCAGACTTATACCTAAGTAGAGTCCAATGTGAAACAGCTTAGAGATCTAAGAAAAGCAGGCCACCATTTTCCTTTGGCAAGGAATATAACATACTTACTGGTTTTAAATACCCTATCAGCCAAAGTAACCGACACTGAATCTTCTCTGTCCACTACATCAAACTAGTGCTACGCTCAGTCGCCAAGGATGCAAAAGCTGGTTTCTGTCAGGCCGTCTGCTCTTGTTCAGGTTGTGGTCTGAGGGAGCAGCACTGCACAGAGGAGGAAGCTGCTGGGTGCTCAGGCTGGAATCTGCATGCCACTGAGACATCCAGGCAGTGGAGTGCAGGAAGGAGTTTTGAAGTTTGGAGGAAAACCTGAAACGCAGCAGAAATGCTGTCCAAATGCAGACTCCAGCTGACCTAGGAAACCCCCATTCCTAGTCTCAGTCCTTTCTTTTACCAGGGAGTGAACGCAGGGGCACTTAACCACTGGGACACATCCCAAGCCCCTTTTATTTATTTTATAAACCCAGATCATGTAGGGTTTTTAATATCTTTTATTTATTTTTATGTGGTGCTGAGGATCAAACCCAGTGCTTCACATGTACAAGGCAGGCGCTCTGCCACTGAGCCACAGCCCCCTATTTTAAGACATGGTCTTACTAAGTAGTTTAAGTCCTCACTAAATTGCTGAGGCTGGCAGGTGCCAACACATGGGGGTCTAGTCCAACCCTTAATCCATCCCTCAGGCCCAGCTCCTGGCTTACCCTCCCCACCCACAGAACACTTCTGGTCTCCTGGGACCTTATACTGAAAGGAATTTTTAGAGAAGGAGGACATTAGGAATAATCTAATCCTACCCCACCTCCACGGCCCCTTCCACATCACGTTACTGTCAGCAGAGCACATCCCCAGTCTCTCTGTTCCCTCCTCCTCTAAAGTCTCTTGAGACCACGTTGTTTCATCTCCATATGCTCCAAAAGTCTGGCATGTCATCCCCTGGCACACCGGACTGTGACAAACAGTACGTAATGCCCCTAATTTCACTGACTGAAGAAAACTGGGCCACTAAGAGTTGGGGAGGGTACCTGAGGTCACATAGCAGCCAGGGGACAAGCCATGTCCAAACTGCTAAACCAGGGAGGCACTAATAAGATGATTTTGGAACTTTTGTTTTTGTGGTGCTGGGGATTGAACCTAGGGCCTTATGCACGTGAGGCAGGCACTCTACCAACTGAGCTACATCCCCAGCCCAGATTTTATAACATTTATTTCTCTTTAAAACCCACTGCTCCATTTTGGATGGCATCTCTATCCTCCTTTCATGTTAGGAATCTAGTCTGCTTTTGTCTAATCTCATTAAAACAAATTTTATCTACATCATATCTCAAAAATCCAAAAGTACAAATTTAATCAGTAACAACGTAGTGCACGGGAGCCAAGTGGACAGCTGTTGAGCGCCTGTCACACTAGGCCAGTGGCAGTGGCGCCTTGCTGCAGACCACAGCACTCTGCCGCACAGCCTGGTAACAGCACAACGAAAGACTGCAAGAATCGTTTTCTTCAATTGCAAAGAATTCTGAAGTAAAAGCCACTGCCACTGTGACCTGACTGGGCAACCAGCAGAAAGGCCACTAGGCCACAGAGGCCCATCTGGTCAGGCCCAGCCACCCTGTGCCCCCACGGCTTTTCCACACTGCCACTCCTGAGCCAGCTGGGCTGTCCTGATGGTCTCAACTGCAGCAACACAGAAAACTTCAAGAAATACACACTGGTTTGTTTTTGTTTTGTTTTAAGCAGGAACAAAGTAAAAATAGGAACAGGGCTTTTTTTTAAAAAAAATCCACAGATTATGTGGGAAGCACACCTTTCTCCAGAGGAGAAAGTAGCTCAAATTATGACAGTCCCACCAAGAATACACCTAAAGCAGCAGAGGAAACGCCCCTGACACTAACCAACAAGGTGCCATAAAAAACTTAACTTGGTTTCAAGCTGTGAATAAGTTCCAAGTTTTTATATTCCACAATTTATATCTTTTATTGGAGTCCATAGTCTGCTAAATAAAAGCAATAATAAGATATTTCACAAATTATTGTACACTTTAAGTCTTATGAATTTAATTTCATAAAAAATTAGCTTCATATTTATTAACCCTGGCTAACCTAAAGACGCTGTGTCTTCTATGGACTGAAATACATCCACTACAGGAGACTTATCCATCACTAAAATAATCCCATATATATATTTTTAAGCATGGTTTACAACAAAACATTTGTGTTCTTAATCAAAAGATCCACAGACTAGTTCAGAATGTAAAAAATAATTTTACAAAAAAATCCAAGATAACACTTTTAGATCCACTTTTATTTTCTTTTTTTCCTCCTCACATACAGAACTTCTCCACACACACTGCTTGTAGCTATAAAGTCACTTGATGTTGGCCAGGTACCATTTTATCCCTAAAATTTTGTTGGCATCAAAATATAACAGTTAACCAGTGTTAAATCCATAAAATATTTACATAGCACAGCACATTAAGCTTTAGACACTTGGCAATTAAACCACATAAAAAGAGGGCAAGACCCCATCCTACGTGTTCAGAATCAGGTGTTCACTGGTCCCTATCAGGCGAATGAACTGGTTCAAAGGGCAGCAGAGGCAACAGGCAGTTACTTCAGAGGACACTGAACACTATGATCTGGAAGCACGTTATGATGTCACCCCAGTGTCATGTACCACACACCTTCTCCAAGGTGGTCTCTCAATTCTAGAATGGCAGGTCCAGCTGATGCAAAATGAAGACAGACAACACAACATTTATTCTGTGGAGACATCCTACACATACTATGCACGTGCTATAATTTTGAACACAACTCGTCCCAAAAACTTGTCACGATCATTCTGGTTTTTTAGGTTGGGTGATCCATCAATTTTGCACTCAACTGTTACTTCATTCCTGGTACTATTAGATCCAAAGATGACCTGGACAGCAACTAATGGCTGCAGATATCCCACCTGGCAAATAAAGGAAAATAAATGAATTCAAATTCCATAGTAACTTCATCTATACTTTGTTAGGAATTGACTACTCTGCAAATTTTTAATATATTAACTAGACCTGTCATGTTCTTTGCCTTATTTACTTTTTAAAAAATGAAGTGTTGAAGACTATGAATTTTCCTGAATACTGCTTTGAGTGTATTCCATAGATGGTAATTCCATAGATGGTATATTGTTTAAATATTCTATAATCTTGGTTTGAATATACCTTTTCATTCAAGGGTTAATAGAAGGCTTCTACTACTACCTCCACATGTGGGAAGGTCTTTTTTATTTTAAAAATTTCTAGATTTATTTTGGGTTAGAAATACAATAATATACTTCTATAATATGAAACTTTAAAATTTGTATTTTTATGGGCTGAGGTTATAGCTCAGTGGTAGAGCATTTGCCTAGTGTGTATGAGGCACTGAGTTGGATCCTCAGCACCACATAAAAATAAATAAAAATAAAGGTATTGTGTCCATCTACATCTAAAAAAACATTTTTTAAAAAACGTATTTTTTATGGCAACTTTTTTGACTGCTCTGTGTGTGTGATATACACTGGTCCAAAAGGCAGCAGAGGCAACACTAGGATTTAAAAGCTCATTATAATGCTGCCCCAGGAAGTAAAAATCAACTTAAGATACGTGTTCACTATGGTCTCTTATGTTATGTTTGGTAAACAGTCATAAGATCTACCTGATTTTACTTAGGTCTATATCCTATATGTAGTATAGTAGGTATACAGAGCCTTACTTTAAGTCACTGTGCAACTTGGTGCAAACATACTCCTGATTATTTTAGCTTCATTATGGTTTTTAAAGACTATTCTTCCTAAAAGGAACCAGGGCTGATTCCTGGGCTGGGGCAGGAAAAGTGTGCAAGATGAATCTAGAGTACCTTGTGATGCCAGAATATAAGGAAGTGCTCAGAGAATTATGGGAGCATGTCAAAAGGACACAGTAGCCAGTCTAAAGACGTTCTGCTAGCCAAATCTGGGACAATTTTAACAACAAAATAGTAATTATTATAGATTATTAACCCTAAATTAAAGAAGAATCCATGAGTCTACTGTGCTAGAAATAAATAACTGGAGAAGGGAAGGCTCTTGTGTACAGCAGAATGCCAACTATCAAATGGAAAAAGATGAAAGTGAACAACCTGGCTTTAGGAACCATCCCACTAATAAATGACTCAGGCAAAAATCAACAAATGCTAAAGTTCTAGCCCAAACGGTAGTTTATAGACTCTCAGAGCACACCCGGTACGTGATACTTATTGATGAAAAGGCAAAAATAACTTGACAGTGTAGAAACCTTGCTGACTCCACCTTGAAAAAATAAACGAGCTAACATCACTATCAATTGGATTAATCGACACCATGTCCCTTCTGAGAACACATTTCTTCTCAGGCACTACTGACAAAAGTGCCCAGAAGACAGTGAGGGAGGGAGGCAGGAAAAACGGATGAACCCAAACTAAGGAACATAAAGTAAACCAAAAATGGTTTATACACTTGGGAGTACAAGAACATGAAACAGAGGAACTGGGGAACTAGTCCAGATTTGGAGACCACAGACTGCTGAAAATGCACTTAGTGCAAAAACTTAGTCTCATTCTGATGGGGGAAATGTATGTACTCAAAAAACGATGACTGCTAAGACAAGTGAGGAAAAATATTAAAATCTGGGAACTCTGTACCATGTATTATTTTAACCACTTCAAGGATGGAATTTCAAAACACAAAGATGAAAGAGGCTGGAAACTGGCTCCGTGGCAGAGTACTTTTAATCTAATAGACATGGGCCCTGGGTTCAATCCCCAGCACTGCAAATATAAATAGATAGATAGATAAATAAATAAATAGTATATATAGAAAACGGTCCAAATTTTATAAATGAACATATATATATTTCTAGAAAAAATATGGACAAAACTGTACTACAATATTTTTATATCTGTGTAATGAGGTTTTTTTTTTTTTTTTTAAAAAAAATTTTTAGTTGTAGTTGGACACAATACCTTTATTTTATTTTTACGTGGTGCTGAGGATCGAAGCCAGGGCCTCGCTCGTGCTAGGTGAGCGCTCTACCACTGAGCCACAACTCCAGCCCTGTAATGAGCTTTCTGATTTCTTTAGTACTCTTCTACTTTCTCTAAATATGTACATACTGAATAAGCATATAATGAAAGAGAAAATGGTATTTTGAAAACAATCATCCTTTAACTTGTCTGCTTGGGTTTGTGTTCTTAACTGTAGACAGGGAAGCTCCACTTGCCCTTACCATCTGTCTTTAAAAGCCCAAAGCGCTGATGCACAAATTTCATAGATCATGTGTCTACCTACCTCAGACAGGATAGTTCAATTTCCCAAAAGAGTAAGTATGACATAAATAACTTCTAAATACTTACATGCAGTTTTTTCCCATAATATGGAAAATACTTTAAGTCTATAACTCCAAGATTAGGATATGTTTCTACAATTGCTGTGCTTCCATCCTAGAGTTGAAAGCAAAAGAAACCCATTTTAGGACACGAAAAGAATTTTAAAATGTGTTTATAGTTAAAGCAGAATCAATTGGAAACACTATTGAGAACTATCTTGCTACTCCAACTATATTATATAGTCTATTTTTGAGAAGATACTTGAAGTAACTAAAATAAAACCCTTTGACACAGACTATCCCGATTCTTCAAAAATGACCTGCATAACCTACATTCTTTTCACCAGGTCCCTTCTAACTTACAGATGTTCTACTGTAAAGTCTTATCTGCTCTCCAACTGTTCAAATGCCAGCTCTCTGGCCTCTGACAACAGGAATACACCACCAGGTTTGGCACCAAGTTTTCCTGAGATGAATAAAAACATTGTGGAAATATTATCTGGAAAGCAGTGGCCACTGCAAGCTGCCAATCTAGAAAGCAGCACTCAGGACAGGAAATTATGGTAGGTAACCATAATGACCACAACCAGGTGAAACCACTGACAGAAATTTATCCACATTTCCCATGAATTAATGTTTGAGCACATGAAAACCATTCAGTATTTGAATCTCCTGGTATTCCAGGCATTTAAAAACTTTATAAACATTACTAAACACTTGAATTTTAGATGAGTAAACCTATTCTATGTTGTGTGGTGTTGGGATGGAACCCAGGGCCTCGTGCGTGCTAAGCATGCACTCCACCACTCATTCCCAGACTGTACATTCTTCTTCGTTTTTCTTTCCTTTTATGGTACAGGGAACTGAACTCAAGGGTGCTCTATCACCGAGCCATATCCCCACCTTTTGTATTTTTTGAAACAGTGTCTCAGTGAGTTGCCCAGGTTGGCCTCACACTTGTGATCCTTCTGCCTTAGGCTCCCGAGTATTTGAGATTACAGGCGTGGGCCAACAGACCCTGTTCATTAATTTTTACTTTTGAAAGCATACATGAAATAATATAGCAAAACTAAGAATCAAACAAGAAGTTCTACTCTCTGCTTATATCATCTCACATGTCAGGGGACAAGAATAAGAAATGCACGAGGAGCAAGAGAGCATAAGCAAGAGTAATGGCCTCACCTTCCAGGAAGGACAAGGTCTAATGATCCACATCAAGAACACGTGGAAAGAGCAGGAGATAGCAAAGGACAAATTTAAGGACACAACACAAAATAAAAGACACAGGCACTGCATAAAAAGACATGTGCATCAACTAAGGGATTTAAACTGAAGAACACTTGATATAGACAATGCTAACAGAAAACACTAGTTACAATATATTGTACATGCTTTCAGGTGTCCTACGTGGCCACACCTCTAAAATTCATGGGCTCCACCTGGCTCTCATGGAGCTAGGCTAGGAGTCAGTTTTATAAGAATTTCTGCCAATTTTGTTTTTTTCTTTTAAACAAAAATAAAACTCTATAAACAACAAAAAACACCCCCACTATTTTGATTATTTTATGTACTTAACCACATCTCTTCAAAGCAAATTTGAATTGTTAGATCTAGATTTTATTCAATATCATGATTCCCATCTATTCTAGAAGCAAAGAGGTACATAATAGATACAAAGGAAAAAAATGCCTTTAAAGCCTTAAGGGCAGGTTTACATGGACTTATTGATAATGGCCAAAGACTTGCAAAATGAAAATCTTGGGGAAGAGTTTAAAGTTTCTGCCCCTGTGGCCTGGGTGCCTGTTTTCTTTTTAGGTGACATTGGCTTCATGGACCCACCATTCCAAGCTTTTGTACAGAGCCTGTTCACATGTGAAGACGAAAGCTCCTGTGTACAGGTACACTGCAGAAAATTAGCACTTCCACCTTGCTGAGGCCCAGTACCAAACCTCAGAAACTTTCTACCGGAAAGATGTTAAGCAAATCCTGAGAATCGGAGAGTTACATGATACTTTTTCTTATAAGATATAATCTTATAAGAAAGCCATAATGCCCCTTTGTCTTAAGAAGTGACAGTACATGCTCTCTAGATCTTTACAAGAATTTCTCTCAGAAAGCTCAGTTTAGATGTGTGGCATGTAATTTTAAGTGAAATTCTGGCTTTTTAAATTGTTTTTGGTGCTGGGGACTGAACCCAGGGTCTTCAGTAGGAGATTCTGGCTTTTTTTTTTTGACGGCTTTGGGGGTCGCAGGGGGGGATCGGGGATTAAACTCAGAGGCACTCAACCACTGAGCCACATCCCAAGCCCTATTTTCTATTTTATTTAGGGACAGGGTCTAACTGAGTTGCTTAGTGTCTTGCTAAACTATTGAGGCTGGCTTTGAACTCAAGATCCTCCTACCTCAGGCTCCTGAGACTCTGAGATTACAGGTGTTGTGCCACAGCGCCCAGCCAAGATTCTGGTTCTTAAAGTTTCCTACAGAAGTAACTGTGGCAGAAGGAGGTAAAGTAACTTGCTGACAGTCACAATGTAGACTTCTACTCAGATGAGAGGACACAAACTTCTTGGCTTATTAGTCTAATCTAAATAGTGATCAAATACTCAAAAAATTTAAAATGATACTCTAAAGCAGGGTTCTCAAGCGTGTGCCTCAGACCAACTGATTCAGAAACTATGGGGATGGAACCCAATAGACCCAAGTGATTCTGACAGATGAGTAAGCAGTTTGTGCCCAAATAAGAAAACCACCTGGAATTGAAGGAATTACAATTTTTCCCCACAACTTTAGAAGTGATTTCAATGCAACAATTTAGGTAAAACACTTCTGACAAAACAATTGGGGTTGAATGCTAATATTTATTAGCATAATAACAGAATTAAGTTTACAAATTAACAGTTTCTCCTCAGAACTCTTACCCATCTTTTACATATTTGTCTTAGATGTATTTGCAGCATGGAGAGAAAACAAAAGAAGTTATGAAATGAAAAATGCACAGCAGTCTGGAAAATAATGTAGGGATGGGGAGAAAAACAATACCTCTACCTTCTGGAAAATGCACCACCTTTCAACTCTCAGATGGCACTGAGGTTTGGCACACCAATTTACATACCAAGACAGAAAACATGATACAGTAGTATTAAAACACTACAGTTACACTCTAAGATGAAAGACTGTGAACCTCAAAACTGGTGAAACAGTGTATGTGTGAGGCCAAACACAAAGAAAACATCACGCTGAACCATCACTAGGAAAGAGAAAGAAGAGCTGCTACTGAAGAGTGAGGGGACTTAGGAAAGAAAAAAGATGGCTAAACTCACTTGAGTGAGTTTACTTAAAATACTAAAGTATTTTAAGAAACATCAGAGCTTTAAAAGTTGAGATTTTTAAAAAAATACTAACCTTTGGAACACATTCTATCCTTGGATCTCCTTCAGGTTTTAATCCAATTATCTAAGGTTAAGAAACAATGATTAGTGTAAACATCACATACATGTGCAATGGAACCTTCTCCTCTGTGGCTGGGGACCAGAGATCAGGGATGAGAGACAAAGAAGTTGAGATTGACTCTATTCTGGATTAAACCCAGTTACATCTATCTTTTACTTTGATTTGGGGGCATTAAAATTAACTTGCCAATATAATAATTATCTTGCCAATTAACCATCTTACTGCTATCCTGAAGAGATTTAGAAAATACATCCATTAACAAAGAGGTAACCAAAACACAGTTGTGTACTTTGCTAACTTTAAAACAAGAAAACAAACAAACAAAACCCCCAGAAAACCTAATCTAATTATATAGTTGAACAAATCATTTAATATAAATATTAAGAACTGCAGCTGAGCATGGCGACATACACCTGTAATTCCAACACCTCAGGAGACTAAGGCAGGAGGACTGCAAGTTCAAAGCCAGCCTCAGCAACTTATTGAGGCCCTGTCTCAAAATAATAAAAAGGGCTGGAGATGTAAATCAGTAGTAAAGCACTCCAGGGTTAAATCTCTGGTATTAAAAATAAAACAAACTCTCCAAAGGCAGAATAAACTGTTAATTTGTGGTGCTGAACCCAGAGACTTGCACACAATAGGCAAGTATTCTACCTCTGAGCTACACCCCCAGCTTCCCTTCTTTTTAAATTTTGAGTCAGGTCTCTCTAAATTGCCCAGGCTGGTCTTGAACTTTCAATCCTCCTGACTCAGCCTTCTGAGTAGGTGGGATTCCGGGCATGAGCAAATAACTTTTATGAAAACAAATTAAGTCATAATGCCCACTAAGTGTCACCTTATTTCAATTATCTGGTTCCACAAAAGCACACATAGGAAAGAATCTACCTAAGACACTCCTAGCACAATTGGGTACTATGCACCAAGGCTACTTCATTTATGTCAGTTATAACCATATGAATGGTAACAGGTATTTATCCTTCTATTTTGTAAGAGGACCTTTTGGCATTCTGAATAAATATGTAGTTTACATGTCAATGCTTCTAAAATACAAATACTCCTCTCAAATAACAAACATTCTTGCAATCTATATAAAATAATACCAAAAGCAAGAAGTAGCCTTGCAAGGCAATGACTTTGGGATTATACAAGTAAAATTTCTATATTAGGTATGTACATGTTAACACAGATCCCTATGTCTGCCACTGCCCTTTCTGTCAAGTTCTGCAGAGCCACAACCCCTCAAGTGAGTGTGGTCTCAGACTCCCATTGTTCAGGAAGGTCATCCTAAGGGAAAAAAGCCAGAAGGTTGGTCCTGTCAGACAGGGACTCCTTCTTTTGACTTTCTATTGGGAAGATACTGTCAGCAGGATAAGATTATAAAAGGCATCTCTATTAAAAATAATAATAAATTTAATTCCTCTTACAAACAGATCATCTAGTTTCACATTACTTTTGGCTTATTTTGTTAACCTTAATTTTTGTTGAAATGTCTCACTAATCATTTACTGGCTATCTGCCATGTTGTCAGGCAATTTTTCAGAAGATCTCTAGAATTCTATAGGACAAACTGGAAACTGTCATTGTCTGTGGTCTCTCAAAGGGCAGGTGACAAAGCTGCAAGAGGACCAGTCTGGCACTTTAGGGTCTCGCTGGTTCTACCCACAGGAAATCTTATTTAGCACTGTCAACTTCAGAAGACTCAAGTTTTATTTTTACTAGGGTGGCAGCAATTTTCTTACCAATGGTGACTTCAGTGGTATGTGAACTTAGGATCTTGTGAATAAAGGACCAGGAATGATCCACTCTTCAAGGGAGACTTTGAAAGGTCTCAAAATACAGCTCTATCAGAGCAACTCTGTGGTATGCTATTTAAAGAGCAGCCAGGCATCAGGGTCACTTCACTATAGAGGGGCAGCAGCTTCCTTGGCACAATGACCCTAAATCCATTACTGCTCTCACATAATGAACGTTATTGGCTCCTTACTCTGCTACTGACTGTGTTCAGGCACTATTTCTGTTAACAACAAAAAGCTGTTACCACTGCAACATCCCAGGAAGCTCACCTGCTTATTTTATTTCTATTTCCACCATTTCATCACATACACATATAACACAGAATTATCCTTTACTATTAAATATTTATAAAAAGCTAAATATAACCCATGAATAAACCAGGGATTGAACCCAGAGGCACTCAACCACTGAGCCACATTTCCAGCCCTTTTTATTTTGAAACAGGCTCTCGCTAAATTACCCAGGGCCTCGCTAAGTTGCTGAGGCTGGCTTTGAACTTGGAATTCTCCTGTCTCAGCCTCTGGAGCTACTGGGATTATAGGTATACCACTGTGGCCAGCCCTGCTACACATTTTTCAAAGCAATAAATATCACTGCTGGCCTTTTAAGCAAACTACTCCCCAATGAGGTAACATTTAATAAGAAGGCATTAACTCAAATCAAATGATCTAAAAATAGCTGTCAGCTTCTTAACAAAGGATTTTAGAAACAAGCCCCAGCAGAGGTAAATTATGTACGTACTCTGTTCATTTTTACAAGAATACAAGGTTTTCCTTTGGAATAGCCAAAATCAGGATCACCTATACCACTGCATTCTTGGAGTAAGGCAAGAGGAAACTGACATGCAGTATAAACTGGACCCTTCTGTTCAAAAGGAACTCCATCAGGACAGTCTTTGAGATTACTCTGTTCTTCTCCAGAATATGCTGAAAAGGAAACATAGTCAAAAAAAGATTAGATACAACCAGGAACACAACATCTTTTGGATGATTTTCCTCAAAGATAAAAACAGCAATGCTAATTCCTAGATAACTTCAGGGGAAGAATGCTAACTTTATTGCATTCCCACAACTGTACAAATTGGATTATAGATTAATCTCTTTTGTCACCATTAGGTGGCACCAGCCATGGCTATAGCATTACCTGAAAATCTTTAATGTGCTTGGACAAAAAAAAAAAAAAACCAATAGTAAGGACTTAAAAAAAAGCATTGCCACTCCGGATTACAATGTTATAGGGAAGACAAACATTAAGTATAAAATTGTAACTGCAGTCATGAAGATATGCAGCATTAGGATAGTCTCCACTAATGGGAAGGCAACTGGGCTGAGAGAAGAAGGGCAGGGGTGAGTTAAGGAAGCTGAGAAAGCACTTTTGATGAAGAAAGGCACCGGCCAGAGGAGGTGTTTTAAAAGAATTAGGAATGGAGGACCGTTGTACCAAAGAGCCCAAGACAATCTACTAAATGTTTTAAACCAGGGGAAGTGGCAAGGATGGCATGACCATATTTATGTCATGAAAATATTTATGCCATGACTGGCTGTGATGTGGGGAACCAACTAGAAGGAGAAATAACAAGGATCCTGAAAACCAGACAGGAGTCTGTTAAAGCAGCCCAAGTAAGACATAGCATTAGTTCAGAGAAGATTGTCTATTAAGACTGAGGTGGCTAGTTGGACTTAAAAGCATAAAGGAATAAAATGGTCAGAAATTGGAAATGTGAAGGAAAGGAGGTGGAAAAATACCCGATGCCCGATACAACGTTAGTTCTGCAGCAGAAGCACTGAGGCATGAGGTGGTGGGACAGTGAACAAGTCTGATCTGATCCTGGTCCTCAATGAAATTAGTCTAGTGAAAGACAAAAATAATTAATATATGGTGTAATATATATATATATATGTATGTATATAGTCAAAATTTTGGCTTCATCATATAAAAAACTAGATTATTATGAGAACTATGCACACACGGGGGTGGGGTGGGGGGGCATTTGCTGGTGATTGACCCCAGAGATTTGCATGTTAAGCACAGACTCAGCCACACACCCAGTCTTATGTACTCATTTAAAAGCAAAGGACTCAGGAATTTGGAGTGCAGAGGTGGACACTGACAACACACAGCACCCAGCTCCCATCACCTCCTTCTTGTAACAAACACTCAAATCCTTCAGCAGTCCCCAAGGGCTTCCACTGGGAACACTGTGGGTGCAAGTCAGATCATCAGTAATTGTGTTCTATTATGGTGACTTCTACTTCCACACAAAATCACTGCAAATGTAAGGGGATGGATGGGAAGTAGTCAGATTGTAAATCCCTGCCAAGGGAATGATGGAAACCTTACATTAGTCTCAGAGTAACCAAATAGCCCCTCCCGTACATCTAAGGAAAGCTTCAAAGAAGACAAACCAAGATAATCAGTGAAAAAACAAATGAACCTAAAGGAAAGAGATAACCCCAAATCAAGTCCTGCAAAACGATATTTTAGAAAGTGAAATCAGACAAATTTAATAACCCTAAAGAAAGAAATTGAGGGCTGGGGATGTGGCTCAAGTGGTAGCACACTCGACTGGCATGCGTGCGGCCCGGGTTCGATCCTCAGCACCACATACAAACAAAGATGTTGTGTCCGCTGGGAAAAAAAAAAAAAAAATATATATATATATATATTTTTATATATATATATATATATATATATATCAAAAAGAAAGAAATTGAAAAACAAAGCAAAAACCTTGCAAAGAAAAAAGGCAAACACAAGAAGAACTTGGCATGCTTGAGACCCTGGATTCAACCCCCAGCATCTCTCTCACACGCTTTAAAAACAAAACAAACAAACAACAACAACAAAAATAAAAATCCAAAGGAGTAAATTAAGAATAAAAAGAAGAGCTGGGTGTGGTAGCACATGCCTGCAGCTCAGGAGGCCAAGACAGGAGGATCCCAAGTTCAAAGCCAGCCTCAGCAATGGTGAGGCACAAAGCATCTCAGTGAGACCCTGTCTCTAAATAAAATACAAAATAGGGTTGGGGATGTAGCTCAAACAAGTGGTAAACAAGTCCCTAAAGACAGCTCTGAATCAAAGTACCTCAACTGTAAAAGCAAATTAGGTCACTGTCAGAAATAAAGGGCTCAAAATTTACATTTTATGTATCCTTTCTTACAAAGTTTCTTGAATACGTACTTCATCAAAACTAGGTAGGGAGGGGCCTGTAGTGTAGCTCAGTGGTTAAGCACCTGCTTAGCATGCTGAGGCCTTCATCACATCATCACAATAACAAAAACCAAACAGAACCAGGGAATAACTTAAGAATAAAGAAAAAGAAGGAAACAATAGATTCAACCAAGCAAGTGGTGAAATGAAGTCCCCACAGACATGGGAGTAGAAGCCTATACAGCATCAGTACACAGGTAGCAGGAGGGAGAGGGTTATACAAGATTTCCAGAAAGAGATGCGAATGGTAGTTACAAATGGGGGAGTCAGGAGAGAATGCCCACAGGTAACTGAAGGTGGAAAGAATAAGTGTGAAACAGCAACCTATGATGAAACCAGACAGGAGTCAATTACCACTGAATTGAGAAGGGGCAAGGTAAAGGCATAGGAGCTAAGTGAAGATGCATAAGTGAAAACTCATAATTAACAATGATAAATAACAATAAATGAACATGATTAATCAAGAACCAGCAAAGTATATTCAGAAATGCATTAGAAAAGCACCACAAGACCAAAGTCAAAAGCACGAAGCTATTTCCTATGAAATGTACCAGATTCAGACTATTTCTCCTGTGATCCCAGGGCTCCCTCCCTTGCCAACCACCATCACTCTGTAATAGCTTCCCTGTTTCCACACTGCAGTTTACTTTCAAAAGGTTGCCTGTATGGTCCTTTAAAAATCTGAGTTAATCATGTAATTCCCTGCTTAAAACCCCTCATCGTGGCCACTGCAGAAGCCAAAGAACTTAACTGGCCTCTAAGCATCTACACAGTCTGATCCTCCTTCACTCTCTGATGTCATTCTCCTACCTCTTTTCCCTGGGTTCACTCTACCCAGCCCCTCTTCCTTCCTTGATGAACCTTGACCATAGATACAATAAACCTTAGGGCCTCTGCTCCTATTGTTTCCTCTTTGGACATTTCCATTGCTAGTTCCATTACCTTCTTCACTCTTTCACAGGTTCCTTTCACTGTGGCTTTCCCAGGCCACCCTGTTTAAGTCTGCAACCTTTCCCATCTCTCCCTGCTTTTTTTCGCTTTAGCACTTAATAGTTTCTAATACACTATAGACCATGAGCTCCATGAAGATAGGGTTTTTCTTTTGTTCACTGAAGGAACCCAGATGAGTGCTTGCTACAAAACATTTGTTGACTGCACAGGACCAAAGGTAGAAAGGTGTAGGGCAGGAATCTACTATTTTCACTCTACAAGTTTATCATTTGATTTTATTGTTGTTGCTGTTGTTACTGAACCTAAGGCCTCATCATGCATGCTAGTACCATCTGACTTTTAAACCAGACAATACTTTCACAAAAATGTCTTTAACTTAAATAATAAAAACATATTTAACTAGCAAGGCAAAGACAGGAAGACAGCTAGCAGATAATGTGGGATCAAAAGCAGTTTTTGAGGGTAGGAATGTGATTCAGTGGTAGCATATTGCCTGGCATGAGTGAGGCTTGGGGTTTGGTCCCTATCCCAGCACCGATCCTCTCTCCTCAGCCTCCTGAGCCACTGGGACAGATATGCATCACTGTGCCAGGGTCGTATTATCTCTTGCATGAAGAACATGAGGCATAGGGAAAAGGTAAAGAGTGAGAAGTTTAAGTAGAACTTGGCAATGAACCCTTCAGAGAATCAGAGAAAGTCATGGTGGTCACCAGGCAGGCAAGTGTGTCCACCTGGGGGAAGTGATCAGATATTCAAAGTGCTAACTAGTCCTGTCTTCGGCAGCTCAGCTGTTCAGGGCAGGCTCAGAGGAGGCGCTCCACAGACTGGCCACACACTGGGAGGCAAGGGATTTCAGAGTACCAGCAAAAGAAAAAACTAAATGAAAATCCACAGAATTAATAAGCTAGGTAAGAACGGATGGTGGAGACGGGAGCTGACAAAGAATCAGCTACGGGAGCTGACAAAGAATCAGCTAACTGAAGTCCACATAAACTGAAGTTTATGATGCTGAATAAACTGGAAGAAAGTTGAACAAGCAAGCTAGAGAGACAGAAGATGGGAGCAGGAAAGCTTGCTCAATCAGTGCTTCTGCCAAAGAAGTCCTCCCCTGGTCCAGGAAGCACGCACATGCACACACCTGTCTGTCTGAGGGGAAGACGATGTAGGTGACCAGAAACCCACAGGCCAGGGCTTTTGGTGATTATTTGTATGACTGGTTAGGTCAAGGAAAATAGGAGAAAATAGTGAGCCAGGGTGTCTATTAAAGAGCACTGTGAACTGGTAACTGAAAAATTCATAACTGATACATAAAAAATCTGACACAGGCTGATTTTCTTTGAATGATGACTATCCTCATCTTCCATATAAGTACTATACTAGATTAAAAGACTCAAATACTGGGCAAGGAGTGTGGCTCATATTTAATATTTTAAATATTTTTTAGTTTTTAATGTTTCAACAAACCTGGTGTACTTATTATAGGACAGATTAAAAATCAAATCAATCGTTCACCAGGCTTAGGCCCCTATGTCTTTCCATAGATTAGAATATTCTTACAACTGATAAAAAGAGGAAGGCACTGGGCATGGTGGCCCACACCTGTAATCCTAGCAGCTTGGGATGCTGAGGCAGGAGGATCACAAGTTCGAAGCCAGTCCCAGCAACCCTGTCTCAAAACAAAAAATAAAAAGAACTAGGAATGTGGCTCAGTGGTTAAGTGCCTCAGGGTTCAATCCCTGGTACTCAAAAACAAGCAAACAAACAAACAAAAAAAGAGCATGAAGAGGTAAAACAAACTTTTAAGAATGATATTTCTAAAAGTCATCATGATTTGGTATGAGGTTTTAATCTTTACCTTACTCTAAGAAAAGATACTTACATTTTAGAAACTTCTTAAGGTCTTTAACGTACCCTTCATAGGAACTTGGATCTGATACACTAAATGTATATTCCAACGCAGTCACTGGTTTTGGGAAAACCATAAGTCCTAAAAAGAGATTAAAGAAAGGTGGGAAATTAACTGTGAAATTCCCTTCTCTCTTTCTCCTAATTCTTATCCATAAAAAGCAGATCTCACAGTAAGTAACATGGAAAATTGTGCCCAGAGGCATGCTTAAATTATCAACTTCTTACTTCTCTTCAATTATCAAGGGAAAGTCACCTAAAATTAAAGAAAATTCAAATCTTAAAACCAATCCAGATGATACCTATTTAAAAATGTCCCCTAAGGGCTAGGGATGTGGCTCAAGTGGTAGCGTGCTCGCCTGGCATGCGTGCGGCCAGGGTTTGATCCTCAGCACCACATATAAACAAAGATGTTGTGTCCGCTGAAAACTAAAAAATAAATATTAAAAAAATTCTCTCTCTCAAAAAAAAAAAAAAAAAAAAAAAAGTCCCCTAAATTTGATTATTTTCAGCTAACTATATTCTCTCTTCCTTACTTTATTTATTTTAGTATGGGGATTGAACTCAGGGGCACTCGACCACTGAGCCACATCCCAGCCCTGTTTTGTATTTTATTTAGAGATAAGGTCTCACTGAGTTGCTTAGCACCTTGATTTTTTTTCCTGAAGCTGGCTTTGAACTCACAATACTCCTGCCTCAGTCTCCCAAGCTGCTGGGATTACAGGCATGCGCGACTATCCCCGGCTCTTCCTTACTTTAAAAAAATGCAATTTTACTTTGACTTTTCATATTCATTTTCTATCAAATATCTTTTTAGGTTGTGCCAACTTGTCATTAATAAACAAAGAAAATTTTTAGCAAATAAGTCTAAGCATGTCATTAAATTTAAACTTTATGGAAACATTCATAAAGATAGCTTCTTCAATTAAAGAGGCGTATTCATTTAAAACTCTATATGCTAAATATTCATTGTTCTACATTAAAATGTGCATTACACATACTGAGTTTGAAGTATAACCATCAACAATTTCATATCAGGAACTCCCATGTACACAGAACAATCTTGAGCTTAGAAAATGCAAACATATTTATCTGTAAGAAATAATCAGGCTTTCAACTTTAATATAAACAGTCCACATATCTAATCACACTGTATTTCATATATCCTATGTGTATATGTACACATGGACTCATTTGCTTACACTACAGAAGTATTATAATGTAATACATTGGATAAAAAACTTTAAGGAGCTCATTTGAAAACTGTACTTAAAAACACTGAACACATTTTACTGCTTATATACTTCATACAAGTATTAAGAGTTTAGTATTTCTAAAATAGGAAGTATTTTTATCCAATGTATTACATTATAATACTTCTGTAGTGTAAGCAAATGAGTCCATGTGTACAATGAGAGATAAGGAAAAAAGTGTGAAGCTAGTCTCTGATATTTGGTCAAATAAACTAAGAGTTAAGAGAAATTTATTCAGAACACTTGGACAAATATTAGCTATAAACAAAGGAAATCACTAAACTGTTCTAGGAAAAAAATGGTTGGGGAAATTGGTTCAGTTTGGCTGCTAATATGCTCAGAGTCCATGCAGCAAGTGGGGATCTAGATGAGGCTCCCAGATCTCAGCAAGAGCACAGCCAGGTGGGACATTCTTTGTAGTGAGGTGCTGGTCTATGTTGAGCATGTGCAGCAGTACCCCGGGCCTCTACTTGCAGTTGTACCTCTTTTGTTCTAATAACCAAAAATATCTCCACACATTGCTGATTAGCTCCTGGATAACAAATGACCACTGGCTGAAAATCCCATGCTCCAGTGACAGCCTCCAGCTGGACTCCCACTTTGTTGGACTGCAGCCTACCCACTCCCCCAGCTCTCCAACTCCCACTTCTCTAGGAAGAATCCTCTCATTTACATTTCTGAGAATTACATACACCAGAATTCTACACATAATTGTTTCTTACTCTAAAAACAGCCAGCACCTGGGTAGGGGTGCTGCCCTGTGGTAGAGCGCTTGCCTAGCATGTATGAAGTATCCTGGGCCCTATCTCTAGCATCTCTACTGAGAAAATACTAGGGCCATGGCCACCAATCAAGAGAGAGCTGGCATTCAAAGGCTATTTCAAAAGAATAAAATCAGGAGGTAGAAAAAAAAATTTATTTTTGTTTATTTTTATTTTATTATTTTAGTTGCAGATGGACGCAATATCTTTATTTATTTAATTTTATGTAGTGCTGAGGATGGAACTCAGGGCCTCACACATGCTAGGCAAGCGCTCCACCACTGACCCACAATCACAGCCTGAAAAATGTAATTTAAATAAGTGTTTCAGGTAAGTTCTTACTAAATCATCTCTGTCACATGGAGAATTTTTTTCTTAAGACAACAGAGAAGAATCAAACATATAAAGAGTATGTTTATTCTCTACTGATATAACTAACATTTTTACCACTTTCATAGTAGGCAATTAAAACCATAAAGCATGAATTTTATAAGACTAATGGTCTAGCCCAGGCCAGAGCTGAATAATCATTTTACATATAAGTCACTCAAGGCAAAATGAAACTGTCACACAACATTCACATCATTCATAACTGTGACTTCACTAAAATCCAATATTCATTTCTGTTCATTCTTCACAAAGGACTCAAGAGCTATCAGGGGAAAAAAAAAAAAAAAACATCAGAAAATGAATGTAAAGCTGGGCACAGTGGTGCACACCTGTAATCCCAGCAGCTCGGAGGATCTAGAGTTCAAAGCCAGCCTAAGCAACTCAGTGTGACCCTGTCGCTAATAAAATATAAAAAAGGGCTGGTGAAAATGCCAATATTTTCTCTGATATAAGAAGGCTGATTCATAGTGGGGTTTGGGTGGGGGAGCATGGGAGGATTAGATGAACTCTAGATAGGGCAAAGGGGTGGGAGGGGAAGGGAGAGGGCATGGGGTAGAAAAGAGGGTAAAATGAGATGGACACCATTACCCTAAGTACATGTATGAAGACACAAATGGCGTGAATAAACTTTGTATACAACCAGGAAAAAAAAAAAAAGACTGGTGCTATGGCTCAGCAATTAAGCGCCCCAAGGTTCAATCCCTGGTACCAAAAAAAGAAAAGAAAATGAATGTGAAGGTCTTTAAATCGGTATGTAAATATTGGACAACAAAAATAATATTGTTCACATTACTGGACTCCAAAGTTTCATTATCTTCTATCTGCTATAATGCAGAAGAGATTTATGGTGAATTTAAAATACAATCCAATTTTGTTAGAAATTATAAATGTAATGTAATTACCTGGACTAGGAATCTGGTCACGATATTTTGGAACCTCATCGTTCAGAGTCTGAAGCATAACCCACATTGTGAATGAGAAGAGTGCAGCCAAGAACCCATAAAAAACTAGGTAGAAGAGCAAGATCAAACCTGCAAAAGAAATTAAAACCTATGAAATGTGAAGACACACATGTGCACACACATTTGTCCAAGTTAATTTAAAAAAAAGACAAAACCAAACATGGTTACTGGGAGGCTATGAGCCCAAGCACTGCCATGCACACAGCCAAATATCCTCATATTCAGGCGGCAAGGATTTGCCCAAGCAACGGATACTTCAGCAGGCAGCACCCACTCATCCCATGAGCCCTCCTTTCCTCTGGTCCCTCCCAAATTGAAGTAGCTTCCACCACTCCTACTCTGGTTCAGTCAGAGCTTTATGATTCAGCACATGGAGAGTGTTTCCCAAAATGAACTTAATGCCTTCTAAAGAGAGAAGAAATTGGGCTGGGGATGTGGCTCAAGCGGTAGCGCGCTCGCCTGGCATGCGTGCGGCCCGGGTTCGATCCTCAGCACCACATACAAAACAAAGATGTTGTGTCCGCCGATAACTAAAAATAAATAAATATTAAAAAAAAAAAAAAAAGAGAGAGAGAAGAAATTGATTTTAGCTGGGACAACCTCTCCTCCAATATATTCATATGTTTAAGTAACAAACAGAAAAGAATTAGTAAATTAAACCTGTATTTCACAGATACTAATTATTTGTATAAATTTGTTTTAAAAACAGAATTGATTTAAAAAACAATAACCAGGAAATGGGCAGAGAAGGCAAAATTATGAAGATGGTCCTCAATGAATACAGTTTAGGAAACACTGGTAGAGTGCAAGGGCTTGTGCACAGTGAAAGGAGGACAAGACCAGAAACAGGCACACTAGTCAAGGGACCTTCTCAGCTCTACTGCTAGGCACAAAGCGAGATCTGGCAGACACATTTTAACAACATTTTAATCCCTTCCTTCAAGATTTGGAAATGCTCAGATATATCCCAAACCAGTACTTTATTTTGGGAACTCCTAAAAATCAATAATTTTTCTTAATATCTATATCCAAAATTCTAACATCAGAAGTGATCCTTAGAATATAGTTGTCACTCATTTAAATGTTTAAAAATAAATTGATCAAAGACATTAGACTAGATACAGCAATAGTGAATACTGAACTTCACGGAGCTGAAATTGTGTCAGCTTTACAACCTGTTTTTTTTTGTTTGCCAGACTACATTCCTCAGAGGGGCTAAAGCAGGGCTTCCTAAGTGGACCCCACTACCCTACAAGGAGTAACTTTAGATGTTCTAAAATTTCTGTAATGATAGATTTCTGAATAGAATAATTTTCCCCAGGGACTATACACTTTCTTCTGATTCTCAAATGACCTCATGATCCCAAAACAGATTAAGCCAAGTTAGATGACTTTCTCAATTGTAGGTCAGGAAACCACGCCCAATCCCCTCTTTTCAAGTAAAGGAGAAACAGTTAAAATAATTTCATTTTAATTTAGACTAGCATTCCACCCCTCCCCCCAATTACCAGGAGGCCAAGACAGTGAGGGAGAGAACACAAGAGAGGACAGGATGTCACCTTCAGGCAGCATCACCCCCCACCACACCTGTGATTCTGCTGCAGAGAAAGAGGAGGAAGCCCCATCTCAAAGGAGTGATCCATCTGCTGCAGGGGGAAATGAAACAGAGACCACAGGCCGCTTTAATGAGACACAGGTAACAGCACTTCGATCCTCTGCCCAACAGAACAGGGTCAACAAACATACATAGTGAGTCTAGCTGTGATCCAGCAAAACTTCACTTAGGAAACAGAAAGTCTGATGGTGCATGCAGGACAAATTAAATTGGAGGAATTTGAAATATAAGTGCTAACAAAGAATATTCTTACACTACTTTCAAAATTTTGATTTTAAATTTACAGGAAAAATAATGTAAATGAAATTTATAAGTTACAAAATAACTAAATAGAAAGCAGACATGAATAACTGTTCCCAAATCTGTGTTCAAAAGAATCATTATACGATAAAAAAACAACTTCTAAAGCTTCCTAAAATGAGTTATATCATAAACCATATATACAAATCAGCAATGGCCACGTCAACATCTGATGCCATACACTAGTGTCTACTAATAGTTACTTTAAGCACTGAAGCGAGTTCTCCCTATTTGAAAAAATTTGTGAACCCAAAACTTAAAAATTAGAACTAATCTCTTATAAATATATGAAGACCACTCATAAGTGTAGTGATACTTTATCAATTTAAACTCCTCCTCCTCCTCCCTCTGAAGAGAAAAAAAAAAAATAACCAGAAATTTAAAAAAGAAGTTGTAAATTGCTGCTCTTAACCTCAGGGTAAACTTGAAGCTCAGTGGGCTGATGGGGCTTAACCCAAACACTGGGGTCCTCAAGGACAGTGAAAGTGGTACCTCTTCAGTGTGCCAGCATGTCTGCTCTGCTGCTACTAGATTAAGAGGGAAACAATGAACAGCAGGTATTGTTATTACTAATGCTCCCTAGTTTAAAATCCTCCAAATTTCCTGAAGTCATTACCCAAGAAAAGAAACTAACACAGACACTGGTAGTTAAGTAAGTAATTTAAGGTCAACAAAAATCACAACCAAAGACATTCTCAAATACTGCAGTTTAATGCAGTTATCAGCATTTTTCTATTTCACACTGTAATTCCTACAGTACAGAAGCACAAATGCTACTTCTTTATTTTCCCTTTGAGATCTAAGAGCACACAGTAGAACAGCAATCCAACCACTAACAATGTCTTCTCTTTCAGAGGCACTGACCCTCCTCCCTTTCTTCACTGCTATTCTTGAGAAGCCCTAGTTTTTAAAATCCGATTCTGCTCTCAGGCCACGGTTTACCCTGTGTCATCCAGGAAAAGGAGAAATAGGCCCTCTCCTGTTTCAATCCCACCTGCTTATAAAATTCAATCCCCGCACTATGAGAGCCAAGGGCTTGTCTTCCACTGCAGAGGTGCCCCAGCTACCAATCTAGGAGGTGCCTACTGCCCCCTTGGGTTATATCAGACACTAGAAAAATAACAGAATTTAGCAAAAAGCTGGATTTAGGATTACAATTTTATTACAAAGGAAACATATAGCGTAAGGTCTGGAAGACAATACAACTTTTTTGCCCTCTCCCTCCCAGCACAAGTCTCCCAACCTGGTAGCTCCACTTACGTGTCAATGTGACTGGGGTCTCATTATGGAGGTATGACAGATGGACTTGAGGGCTGCATGACTGCACTCAATTCCCAACCCCTTCTCCTGCCCTCCCTGGAAGTCTGGCTGCCTCAAAGACCCAATCCTACTGGGACTTGGCTGGTCTTTCTGGGGACCAGCCTCCACCCTGAAGTAAACTAGTTGATAAGAGTCAACTCCTTAGCAAAACGAAGACCCTCCCATTACTCAGAAAATTCTGTTTTTGGAAGTGTGTATTTTACATTTCTACCAGCAGGGTTCCAATTTCTCCACATCCTTATCAACACTGCTAAAGATGAATGATGTTGAGCATCTTTTTTCAGGAACTTATGGCATTTGCATATCTTTTTTTGAGAAATGTCTATTCAGACCCTTTGCCCATTTTTAAATTTGGTTATTAATTTTTTTATTATAGAATTCTTTATACACTGTAGACGTAAGCCTCTTATCAGGTTCTTTCCCTTGGGTACTGGGGATCAAACCCCCAGGCCTCACATGTACCACGAAGGCATGGTACCAATGAGCTACATTATGTCCATAGTCCTTTTTAAAATTTTATTTTGAGACAGGGTCTTGCTAACTGGCTGGAGCTGGCCTTGCAATCCTCAGCCTCAGCCACCCAAGTAGCTGGTTAACTGGGATTTCAGGTTTGAGCCACCCAGATCATTTTCTATCATTATTTGTGAGCTGTCTTTTCATTCTCATGATGGTCCCTCTTAAAATAGAAAATTCTTAGTCTTGATGAAGTCCAATATACCTATTTTTTCTTTAAATCCCTGTGCTTCTATTGTCGTAGCTATAACACCACTGCCTAATCCAACACCAGGAAGATTTGCATTTGTTTACTTCCAAGAATTTCATAGTTTTAACTCTTAACTTCCTAACTGACCTATTGAGTTTATTTTTGTATATGGTTTGTGGCATGGGTCCACCTTCAGTGTTTCACATAGGAATATCCAGTTGTGACATCACTCTTTGTTTATTAAAAAAAAAAAAAAAAAGTATTCTTCACTGAAAGAAAGCATGCATTTTTATACACATACTATTCTTATTCTTATAATAAAATATAGTAGACATATAGATGTATGCACACACATTTTATACATTATAATCACTATAATGTAGAAAAACTAAAAAGATCACTTGCCTAAAATTAACCTAACACTAAGCCAGTACCTCTATATGGTACCTCACCTGGCCTGCTCTCCCAGGAAGCTTAAGCTGTGTTATCTTTTCTACTCAAGAACTCACATTCTGTGTTATTCTTCAGTGACAGACATTTACATGAATAAGTTCTGTTCCACCTCTCCAATAGCTCAAGCGTCACAATTGACAGATACATAAGCAAAGAATTACAGATATCAAGTGGAAGTTGGGGGTGGAGGAACTGCCTCTAGCAGGGAGAGGAAGGAAGGGGATTTCACCAGAGAAGGCCTCCCAGAGAAAGGTAAGCTGGCTCACAAGATGGAAAGCTCAGACAGCTCTGGGTCAGGCACTAGGCTGAGAAGCAGAAGTACAGCAGGAGCAGCCAGCGGAGAGGAATTCTGCTCCTCCTGCAATGCACCCATGCCATGCAACTCACAACAGAAGCAGGACCATGGATATGAAGCAGGAAAATTAGGCAATGTCCTGGATGGGCCATGCTAGCAGAGCACCTATACAACTAGACCATCTGTGGTTACACAGCTCCAGCCACCACTGAATGATGACAGGAAAGGCCAAAGAGAAGGACTATAGAACCAACCAACAATTATCAAGCATTCAAGATAAAATAATCCAATAGAAAAAAACTACCAAATTCAACCAAGAGTTTCTTAGGGCCTCAGTAAGTTGCTAAGGCTGGCTTTGAACTCAGGATCCTCCTGCCTCAGGC